TTTTTTTTTTTTTTTTGCTTTTCACTTCTACTCCCCCAAATTATTTCCTTCTACTTGAGGGCTGACATTTTTAATTAAGCTATCATTGCAGGGATTATTCTGGATCTAAGTATCTATTTAGGGCTGGGGATGTGGCTCAAGCGGTAGCGCACTCGTCTGGCATTCGTGCGGCCTGGGTTCGATCCTCAGCACCACATACAAATAAAGATGTTGTGTCCGCTGAAAACTAAAAAATAAATATTAAAATTCTCCCTCTCTCTCTCTCTCTTTAAAAAAAAATATCTATTTAAAGTCTCTAGATTCGATTCTAGATTAAATTCCTGGAGTGCTGGGTCAGTACAATTTGTTCTGAGAATTTACCAATGGACCTGGAATAGAGTAGAAGGGAGTGAAGGATGAGTGAATGAAGAAAAGAAATGGATTAATGAAGAGATAAAATGATAAAAACAAACCGAGGCTTAGGACGCGGACTATAGCCCCAGAGCCTAAAGCTCAGTGGGTGGGCTTTGCATGTGCAGGGACCTCTCCCAGCCGCCCTGCGGAGTCCCATCCTGTTGTGGGAACTCTAGGGTACAAGACACAGGGCGAGGAGAGAAATGCTGGTGGCCGGGTCGGAGACTGGTGTCCACTCCAAGGTAAAAGATAAGCCCCCTCTCCCCCCATGGCGCTCAGATCCCCAGGCCCAGAGATTCCCCGTTTCAGGACTACTTTACCTGCGGCAGCTTAGGCCAGTCCCTATCCGTGGCTCCGCCCCTGAAGGGGGCGGGACTCAGGCCATTGCCCCTCCCCACAGGCCCCGGAAGCGCAWGGGGCCAACAGCTTCCAACAGCTTTCCGACTTGGGCTGTCAGCTGCCTGGGAAGGGCCGTAGAGGGAACGCTCCGGAACCCGAAGTCCTCCAGCAGGAACAGGTCGGACTTTCCCTGGAGTCCTCCTCCCCAGCGGAGAAAATAAGCCAGGGTTACTTGGAAACGACATACAAGCGAAATGCCCGGCGTTGGATGTCCACTTGGGCAGCTGGTCTGTCCTCAAGACCAGTTCAAGTTTGGTGCCTTAAATAGCTGACTCATTCTGTAATTGCCATTTGAATTATAGCATGCTCAGGGCAACATGCCCTGGCCTCTAGGACTTTACAGTCTAACTTGAAAATGGAGAAACAGGAATGATTGTAAAGAATGGAGGGAGGGGCTGGGACTGGGGCTCAGTGGCAGAGCACTTGCCTTGCACGTGTGATTGAACTATTATAGGTTCGATCCTCAGCACCACATAAAAAATAATAAACAAAATAAAGGTATTGTGTCCATCCACAACTAAAAAAAAAATGCAGTTAATAAAAAGCTCATCACTTCTCGAGAAGTGACTTATTCTGGGCCTCAGTGTTCTCCATCTTTAACATGGAGCCAATCATATTTCTGTGACAGTCATGGCGGGAAGTACAGGAGATAATGTAAAGTGCTCAGTACCCAGGTGCTGGCACAGAGCAGGTCCTCTGTGAAGGGATAAGGCTCTTTGTGGTTATACATGAACTACTGTGGGTAGGTATGAACATCTGCATTTTTAAATTATAATTTTAATTAATTTTTTACACTGGGCATTGAATCCAGGAAGTTATACTCCCAATCTTTAAAAAAATATTTTTAGTTGTTGATAGACCTTGATTTTATTTATATGTGGTGCTAAGAATTGAACCCTGTGTCTCACACATGCAAGGCAAGTGCTCTAATCCTGAGCTACAACCCCAGGGCATCCCCAATCCTTTTTATTTTTTATTTTATTTTTTTTAAATTTTATAACTTCATTTTATTTATTTACTTTTTATGTGGTGCTGAGGATCGAACCCAGTGCCTCACCCATGCTAGGCAAGTGCTTTACCACTGAGCTATAGTCCCAACCCGTTATATTTTATTTTAAAACATAGTCTTGCCAAGGTGTCCAGGCTAGCTTTGAACTTGCCTTTCTCCTGCCTCAGCTTCTCTAGTCACTGGAATTACAGTCACCCAGTATTAGCTTTTTATGTTTTAATTTAGGGCTGGGCTAACCAGTTAGACCTCACTAGTCACACTGAAACCACATGCAACTTTATCTTATTTCTGTCTTTTTTGCAGAGCTAGGGATCAAACTCAGGGCCTGTGCATGCTAGGCAAGCACTCTACCACTGAGCTACACCTTCAGCCCCTACATTATCTCTGATCCACATCCTAACTATAGGTTCTTTGTGACCTTCCTGAAAGGGTGGCTCACCTATGTCTGATTTAGAGAATCACACTCTGAGCAGAGAAAATGGCTAAGACTGGAAAAGTAGGAACTCCAGGACTATAGCACTATGGTAGCTTAGTGGAAAGAGGTCAGAATTACTTGTGTTCAAATCCAGGCTCTATCAAGAACCATCAGACTCTCACACTGGGCAAGTTCATTAGCCTTCTGGAACCCTAGTTTCCTCATCTATAATGATAGGGATAATAATGCCTACTGTGCAGAGACAGGGGTCAAGAGGACTCCATAATACAGGTGAAAAGCCATCTTGGTAAATGTTTTAGCTACTTGAAGCATAATCAAATTATGGACAAAATGGAATTTGAAGGCTGCAGCTCTCCTAACTGCTTCATGATACTATTTCTAACACCTATAGAGTTTTCGTGAATTCCTTGTTAATGGTGAAATCCCCACTCACTGTCAAAGAGGAGTTTATGGATACACAGTCATTCTGTTCCTCTTCAGGAAAGAAAACTRAGGCCAGATTTTCTCTACCTTATGTCCACACACATCTAGACAGTGATTTCTGCTCAGAGATGCAGAATACTCTTAAGTCTCGTGGGTCTTTTGACTAGGTCTACTTCAAGGCTCCATGCTGGATATGGCATGAAGTGTCATGTATTAACAAACAAACAAAAATCAGAAAAGGTCTGTGAGCAAAACAACAACTAGTCAGGTGAGGTGGCTCATGCCTATAATCCCATGACTCAGGAGGCCCTGGCAGGAGGATTTCAAGTTCAAAGCAAGCTTCAGCAATTTAGTGAGGCCCTGAGCAATTTAATGAGACCCTGTCTAAAAAAAACAAAAAAACAAACAAACAAAACCAAAAAAAAAAAAAAAAAAAAACAAGGCTTGTGGATAAAGCTCAGTGGTAAAGTGCCCTTGGGTTCAATCCCCAGTACCAAAATATAAACAACAACAACAAAATAACAACCACTTTTTACTGTGGAACCTATGGTTCTGGACTAGAAATCACATTTGAGAATTCTGGAAGGAACATTTGAAATTTATTTTTTAAATGGGAGTCATGTAGGCATGGGGGTGCACACATGTAATACCAGTGACTTGGGAGGTGGAGGCAGGAGGATTGCAAGTCCAAAGCCAGCTGCAGCCAATTAGTGAGGCCTTAAGCAACTCAGCAAGAAACCCTGTCTCAAAATAAAAAATGAAAAGGGATGGGGATGTAATTAGGTAGTTAAGTGCCCCTGGGTTCAATCCCCAATACCAAACAAAATAAAACACTAAAATGGGATTCAAGGCCTAAAGAAGTAAAAATCACTTACCCACGTAAATGACAGAACTAGGAGACCAGATCCTCTGCTCTGTGGAAGGAAGAYAAAGAACACTTTCCATTCATTGAACTGTGTACTCTTTCAGACCCAAATCATTCAGTATGTCTTACCTTTCCTAAGAATATGCCCAACACCCTGAGGGATGCTTTCCTCCTCTCTGCTGTGGACACGAAGAGTAAGTTTCACTCTATGAGGTGGGTCTGCAATAGGGGCTTCTTGTGGCCAGTTTGGTAAAGCACTGCCACTTCTTTTCACCAGAGGGCACACCACTGATCCATTCACTGACTTATCAGCAATGAATGCAGGTGACACCTTCCTTTTAAGCACTTCACAGTTTATATAAAAGCTCATATTCATCTCACTTTTTGTCTTATTTTCCAATTTTAAGAAGGTATCTTGAGTATAATTTATTCCCAATTATTAAGGTTCAGGGATGAAATGTGAATCACCAGCTTTCCTAAGAAGATTGCAATAAAAAGACCAACTAACAATAGCATCTTTTCCCCATTTGCAATTTTTCCCAAAGAAAGTATACTATTTTATTTTTTGCAACTCTTAAGTAGTTAATTCTTCAGAAAGATCTTTCTTGTCCACCCAATACTTAGTGCTAACAATTAYACAGGCTTTACTCTGTGATAGATGTTGTTTAAGTCACTTTCGTGTATTTACTCTGTTTTAAACTTCAGCACAAGCCTATGAGGTATTATTTTTATCTCACTATGATGTGGGCACTAATTTTATTGCTGACATATTGCAACTGAGAAAACTCTTCCATATGACTTCAGCTCTTCCATATGACTTCCCCCAGATATCTACATATCTCAAAAGGATAAATAACTTGCTCAAAATCACACAATAAGTTGGGCTGGGGATGTGGCTCAAGCGGTAGCGCGCTCGCCTGGCGTGTGTGTGGCCCGGGTTCGATCCTCAGCACCACATACAAAGATGTTGTGTCTGCCAAAAACTAAAAAATAAATATTAAAAATTCTCTCTCTCTAAAAAAAAAAAAAATCAATCACACAGTAAGTAGTAGAGCCTGGATTCGAACTCTAATCATTTAGTGCCACTGGGATTACAGGCATGTGCCACCACGCCAGTCTTCTCATTAAAATTTATTCCAATGAGACAGGTGCAGTGGCACATGGTTGTAATCCCAGTGACTCAGGAGGCTGAGACAGGAGGATCACAAGTTCAAAGCCAGGGTCAGCAATGTAGTGAGGATTTAAGTAACTTAGCAAGATCCTATCTAAAAAAAACAACAACAAAAAACACAAATACAAATAAAAATGGGCTGGGGATGTGGTTCAGTGGCTAAGTGCCCCTGGGTTCAATTCCCTGTAATAAGAAAAAAATATTTTTAAATTTTATCGAGGTTAGAGGTATAGTAGTTCAGTAGTAGACAGCTTGCCTAGCATGTAGGAGGTCCTGGGTTTGAGCTCTGCCACCACCACAGTGGGGAAAAGTTTATCCCATTGTTCCCAAAATATACTCTAGAGCAAGAGGATTCAGTCCAGGATCACTCTCTTCTTGTACTGGGGATTGAATTTAGGGGTGCTTTATCACTTAGCTACATYCCTAGTCCTTTTTATTTTGAGACAGAGTCTTATCAATTGTTGAGGTTGCTTTGAACTTGTGATTCTCCTTCTTTACTGGGATTACAGGCTTGTGCCATGATGACAGATAGTCCTGTCTCTTACAATTTTTTTTTTAAAGAGAGAGAGAGAGAATTTTTTAATATTTATTTTTTAGTTTTCGGCGGACACAACATCTTTGTTTGTATGTGGTGCTGAGGATGGAACCCCAGCTGCACGCATGCCAGGCGAGCGTGCTACAGCTTGAGCCACATCCCCAGCCCCAGTCCCGTCTCTTAAACAACAAATATTGATGATGCACTTGCTACTATGGGTTATATAAGTCTTCTAATATCTCATTTGCAACCATTGCCCTCTTGTAGTCTCATACAGCAGCCAGAGTGATCCTTATTTAAAAAGTCAGATAATTTTACTCCTTAATTTCCTTTAACATCAAAAGTTAAAAAAAAAAAAATCAATGTACTCCATTTCTCTCTGATCTTTCCTACTCTTACCTTGCTCTAACAACACTAGTATTGCTTGTCCCCAAAGACTTTAGATTCGCTTCCATCTCTGCATCAGCTCTTCTATATGACTTCCCCAGGTATCTGCATAGCTAACTCCCCCATTTCTTTATTGTTTTTCTTTTTTTTCTGAATTCAGGGGCACTCAACCACTGAGCCACATTCCCAGCTTTATTTTGTATTTTATATATTTATAGACAGGGTCTCCTTGAGTTGCTTAGCGCCTAGCTGTTGATAAGGCTGGCTTTGAACTCCTGTCTCAGCCTCCCCAGCTGCTGGGATTATAGGCATGCGCCACCTGGCCCAGCTTCTTTGTTTCTTAAAAACGCTCATTACCCCATCTCTTTATCCTACTTTTTTTTTTCCCCCTCTTCTATCACATATCACTTTTTAACGCAATAAGTAATCTATTATTATTTATATTCTGTCTTCGTCTTCTATAAACTACAGGATGAGGATAAAGATTTTTGTTTTCCGTGTTCACTGAATAACTCAAGTCTCTACAACTGCAATGGTACATAGTTGGTGCTCCATAGAATAAACCACCGTAAAGGGTACACTAAGTGCCAGGTACTGTTCTTGGCACTGGGGATACAAAAACAACAACAGAAAACCTTCCAGCCCTTGTAGAACTCCTACGGGAGTACGCTTAAGTCAGTAGCCTATTTTCCAATCCTGGCTCCACCGTTTCTTTCCTATGAGATTTTGGGCAAGTTTAACTTCCGGGCCTCGCAGTTTTACCAGTCCTTATGCGGATTAAGTGGGGGAAAAAATAGCATTTAGTGTAAGAAATGGTTTCCCTTCCTTCCTGTTCGGAGGACGGGAGTCTGACATCTGTGCCACAGGTCTAGGYGAAGTCTTCACAAGGCCTTGGAAGGTGCAAACGGGTTGCTATTGCCAAGCTTACCCGATTTTTAACTGAAGATGTTCTGGTGGGAGGGTGCTTAACAGGGTCGGCATGAGAAACGAGTGAATGCCTAGAGTCACCCACTTCGCCGTTTTGCCTCGGAAAGGTCTCGCCGGTTCCCCTAGGAAGAGTCACAAGGAAGGGAAGGGGAAGAAAAAGAATAGTTGGCCACACTTGAAAACTACAAATCTCGGCTCGCCCTGCGGTAGACAACTACGCGTCCCAGTCGGTGTCTCTGGCCGGATCTACSGGGTCCCTCAGGGCTTGTGACCGGGCTTCAGCCAGACTGGGCACAGGGTAGCCCGAAGCTGCGCGGAGAATCCGCCAGGCTCTGACGTCGCTGCGCTTACGCCACTCACGGGCCGGACGTGACGTAGGGAGAGTTCCGGCTTCGGCCTCCGCCGCTGCCTCCGCTACTCCAGCGCCGCCGCCGCCGCTGCCGCGGCTTGTGATTCCTAAAATGGCGCCTCTAGATCTGGACAAGTATGTGGAGATAGCGCGGCTGTGCAAGTACCTGCCGGAGAACGACCTGAAGGTGAGCCCGACCGGAGGGAGACCCACTTGCGGGGCTCGCCCCTTCCGGCTGCGGGGCGACCGCCGGCCCGCCCTTCCTCTCCGCGGGACCCCTGCCGGGTGTACCGGCGGGTCGCAGTGGAGGGCCCTCCGCGGTGCCTGACTATGCGGTCCACCTTGGCGTCACGCGGAGAGCTGGGGAAGCCGGAGTCCCCCGAATGCTGTCCTGGTTCCCTTGGCTGCGATCCCGAGGGATGTCGCGGCCTTTGCCCCGGGGTCGCCTCTTCTGGCCTTCGGACTGTCCCAGCTGCTTTGCTTAAAGGACTTGTCCTCCAGTCGCACGTCCGGGTCCGCCGAGTTGGAGCCGAGCCCCGGGGGGCGGTGCGCCGGGAGAGGGTCGTCCCCACCAGAGGTGACAGCGGCGCGGGAGGCCGGCATCTGACAGGCGTACCGCCCGTGGGTTCCTGAGAAGTGGGAAGGGGTGGACCGCAGCAGTGTGGCAATGATGTGACAGAATGTCAGGTTGCCCCTTTTAACTTACCACTCTTTCACGTCGCCTTTTTTGAGCGTGTGCGTTCATACTTCAGCATGAATCTGGTTTCCGAGCACGTTATTGAGTTTATTTCAGTGAATAGTCAGTCGGCAATGAGTCCTTTAAGTTGTCCCCCCCCCCCATAACCTCTTAACTCAAGATTTAGTTTTATTGGTTCTCTAAAGGAGGGAACTTATTCCTCGTTACTACCGAGTCCAAGGAAGACATAAAGATGCGGGCAAAAGAATGAAAGTAAAGATAGAGGAGTGTAAGTGGTATACTGTTTTTTTGAAATGTTTCTGTGTTTTGGGTAAAACCAGTGTTTAGGTTCCCAATAGTGTTTATCCGCTAGTGCTAGTGTCTGTTTTATTTGTTCAGTTAACTTTTGTTTTTGATATGTGGTAAATGGGTAGACTGTTGATAACTTGAGTTCGTCTTATGCTTATAAGCTATGGATATAAAACAATTTATCTTTCAAGAAAAAAGTTACTTGTCAGTGAATTGTTTCTCTCAAGGAAGATTTTACTGTGTTCTCCCCCTTCCCCCATTCTCCTTTGGTATAGAAGTTTGATATTTAACATGAGTCAACAAGTATGAGAAACGTTAAGGTCCCATGTGCTGTTGCGAATGAATGTAACTGAATTGCACTTACGTGTTAACTATATCTGTTAATAGGGGAGTCATTCGTGTGCGTTTTCCGTTTTTAATACAATGATTTAACTAAGGAGAAAACTTTTACTAGAAATAATGCAGCATTCATATTCATCCAAGTTCATCAGTTTGTGGCTTCTGTTTTGTGCTTTCTTAGGAAACAACACAACTAACCATGAGACCTAATTAATGAAAAACTAACCACACTTCTTTTGATGGCATTGTTTTGTTTTTGATGCCATAAGTGCACTCAATCATTGCATGTTAGTGAATTGACTGGAATTTTTTTTCTTTTTAGTATGTAGTATTATAAAGTTGTTTTATGCTTTGTTTATAATTAATGTAAAGTGTTCTTTTTTTAATTATGAAAATGTATCTTCATCCCCCCTACCTCCCAGAACTGGGGAGTAAACTCAGGGGTGCTCTAATACTGAGCTAAATCCCCAGCTTTTTTTTTTTTTTTTTTTTTTTAATTAGAGACAGGATCTCAGTGAGTTGCTTAGCATCTTGCTTTTGTTGAGGTTGGCTTTGAACTTGTGATCCTCCTGCCTCAGCCTCCTGAGCCATTCCCAGCTCTTTATATTTTTTATTTTGAGATTGTCTTCCTAATTTGCTGAGGCTGGCCTTGAATTTATGACCTTCCTGCTCCAGCCTCTTCTGTTGCTGGGATTACAGGTCTATCCCATTGGACCTGACATGTATTTTGATATTAACTTGACATGGACCCTGAAACAATTTGAAAAATAATCAGTGAGATTTTCTGTAGACTTCTCAGTTTGACCAACATTACATTTCCTTCCTACCTTAAGGAAATATAATTATTAAACCATTTTATTTCCTGTTGAAACACAGTTGGACTGTATTTAGCTTTTATCTGTTTAATAAACGTTTCTTTCCCCAACCTTTTGTAGCTACTAAGAAAAGAATTCTGGATTTTTCTTTGCAAGTAGAGACATTTCTTCTGTCCTGGAAATGTTTTTATCAGATTAATTTTCTTGTGCTGCTTGTCTCTGGTGTATTTAAAGAAATTTAATTTTGTTTCTGTTTCTTGGCATTAGTGCAAACTAAAAATAGGTATGCCAAGAAAGTATTACAGGAGTACCTTTTCTGAGGCTTTAAAGCCAAAATAAAAGATTCTTTCAGAGGAAGAAATGTAATTGGGGCCACTTAATGAACATGATGGAAAAGATTTTTTTTTTTTCCTGTTGGAAAAGAAGAAATTTGCTGTGTTTTAAATTGATCAGATGTTGGCAGTACTAGGTCAAATAATAAATATATATTTCTAGATCTAATCACAGTTTCTCGATAGCTGAATTGGAAATGGTCAAATCACTAGTACCAAATGGAATCTACCTGCTTTAAAGGAATAAGAATGAAGTATATAAACAAATAGACAGCAGTGTAACCTCTTTTGTAGAAAACTCATATGATTCTCATCCACAAGAAAGATTTTAGAGAATACCATAGAAGTTATAGATTTCATACCTGGCAAAGTAAAATAATGAATGATAAAAGGCAGATTTGCTGAATACTTAAACTTAAGAATTTTGGTAGTATTTTTCCCTTTATTTCGGGGGAGTGCTTTGCCATTGAGCTACACCTCAGCCTTAAACCTATGGAGTTTTGGAGGAGAAGTTCTATAACTTGAAAATGGTCTGATCTGTTGGACAGTTCTTAAAGGAGACATGTAACTAAAGAATTGCACAGTGAACTACTGTTCAGTTTTTAAACAAATTTTTTAGTTGTAGATGGACACGTTCCCTTTATTTTGTTTATTTTTTATGTGGTGCTGGGATCCAACCCAGTGCCTCATGCATGCTTGGTAAGCACTCTACCACTGAGCCACAACCCTGGCCCTTTCTTTTCTTTTTTTTTAACTGAAAATGCTGAAGACATTTATTATAGATGAGACTGGGAAAATACTAGAATCTCTCTTAAGGCTGCAACATAAATAATTGTGTAATTCCATAGTAACAACTTTTATGCATTATAATGGGATCTTTTTTGGAACTCACTTTATGTTTAGTCTGAGCCATTTTTCAGTTTTGTTTTTTATCTTTGTTTGTGTGTGTGTGTGTGTTTCTTGGAATTCAACCCAGGGGTGTTTTACCACTTAGTGACATCCCCAGCCTTTTTTATTTTTAAACATTGCCATTCTCCTCTGTCAGTCTCTTGAGTAGCTTTTTTTTTTTAATTTAAAAAATGTTTTTATCTTTGAGTACATTGACACAGGCCTATAATCCCAGCAAATTGGGAGGCTGAAGCAGGAGGATGACAAATTTGAGGTCAGCCTTGGCTAATTAGTAAGGTTTATCTCAATAAAAACTAAAAAGGGCTGGGTGATCTAGCTCAGTGGTAGATCACCCTTRGGTTCAGTCCCTGGTCGTGGAAAAAAACAAATAAAAAAATCATTTCCAACTTTTTTTTGTACTGGGGATTGAATTCAGAGGTGCTTTCTCACTGCGCAACAGTCCCAGGCTGTTTTTTATGTTTTATTCTGAGAAAGGGTCTTGTTAAGTTGGTTAAGGCCTCACTAAATTGTTGAGGCTGGCTTTGAAATTCTTCCTGCCTTAGCTTCCCCAGCCACTGGGGTTACAGATATGTGCCACTACAACCAGCTCTGTTCTTTATTTTCTAAACGCACATTGCTTTGCTCCATGGCACTTTACTGCTCCATTTTACCATTTACAGTGTTCTGCCTTGTATGATAGCATGTATGTCTGTTATTAGACGGCAAGATTCTTGAGGAACAGAACCATTTCTTGTGTATTTTCTAGTTTTAGAACATTGACTTGTATATGATAGATAATCAGTAAAGAGTTCAAGTAGAAAAAACAAGAAGGAAAGAACATGCGAGCAGAAAAAAATACCATAAACAATAGTGTGTAGTCCTGAGAGAACACAGCTTGTTCAGAAATTTGAAGTGGTTTGGTATGGCTGGAGGTGGGGTTGGGAATATAAGCAGAAGCTGAATTATGGAAGACAAAGTTGATATGTTTGGATTTTTATCTCTTGGGTGGCACATGAACACATTGCAGTTGTTTTTCCTGTGTTGGGGATTGAACCCAGGGTCTCATGCATGCTAGGTAAATGCTCTACCTCTACCACTGAGCTACGCCCCAGGCCTGATATGCTTTTTATATTTAATTTAATTTAGTTTAATTATTTGTTTTTGGTACCAGAGATTGAACTCAGGGGTACTTGACCATTGAGCTGGATCCCCAACCCTATTTTGTATTTAATTTAGAGACAGGGTCTCACTGAGTTGCTCAGTGCCTTGCCATTACTGAGGTTGTCTTTGAACTTGTTATCCTCCTGCCTCAGCCTCCCAAGCTGCTGGGATTACAGGTGTGTGCCGCCGTGCCCAGCTTTTCATATTTTGTAAGATTTAG